GTAGCTGATGACTGGTGAGTTATTGATAGCCCTGGACACTCTGAATTCATCTTCCAGGCTCTGCTGTCACTTCAGATCTGTACTCCTTTTGTCTACAGCATATAAGGTTGTACATAGTTCTACATCTCAAAGTAGCTAGATGCTACTCAGTGCAACACAGCATAAGTGCTAGTTATTGCTGTATATATATAAATTCTTAACACATTACACAGCACAGTTACACAAAGCTAAATGAAACTAAAACATGTTAGGTAATTGTCACTTTGTCATTAGCCAGTTGCTATAACAGCTAAAAAAGTTAAAACAAAGCTCCAAGCAAGCCAAGACAAGCTCAGACAAAGTAAGCCTTACAGCCCTAGTCCCATAAGCAAAATCAGTACAAGACCTGCAGCTGGTAACAGGCACAACAATACTGTCTTTACTGGTTTATAAGGATACATAACAAATTGTAATCTAGTCAATACAGTCAATGGAATGTGGAAAGCTATTCAGCTCACCTGAATCTTTCAGTTAAAATTGTAACATCAAGTATATGTAAAAAGCTACCTTCATTATTATCTTTCTTTACTGCTGAGACTTTGTGACTTCAATGCTTTCTAAAATACCTTTATTAGATATGAAATTAGGTGTGAAATTCTGCCCTAACTGGTTGATAATTTTGTGTGCAAATCTAAAAGACATCAGAGAATGGATGGACGTGTTGATACCCACAAAGGCAGTGCTTAAGAGTTTAACGAAAATTTTATTCTCATTTTTTTCCAAGTAAAGGTCAGCTTCCTGCCTAAAAGCCTGTTTTCAGTTTCCTCATCTTTTCTGTAGACTTCTCTTCCATGAAAGATTACAAATAAAACAAGTTGTAAAAGAAAGTCTTGTGAAAACTTCCTTTAAAATTGCATTAATAAAGAGATATATAACATTTCTGGGATATGTTTATCTATGACCTTCTGTCCTCATTAGGGTAATTCATCCTTAAGTACTATCAGTAACTAGAGCAATTCTATCAAAAAGAAAAATTGAACATAAGGTGAAGATTTTCCTACTAACTAGGAAAGTCTTAAGTGAATGACTTAAGTGAATTGCGTAGTAGGGAGGGCAGATTTTGCTTCTGTGATCTTTTCTTTATTTTCTTTTTTATTGTGTTTTGCATGGGTGATGAATTTAAGGAAATATGAATGTTTTTTACTTGTCTTTATATGCAGAGGAATGCAGCATATAATCCTGATTCCGAACAAAGACTTTTGCCCAGTTGAATATCTTGGCCTGGTAGTCTTTGTGATGTGAAACTCCTGAAGCACTGATTAAGCTACATGTAATAATGAGGAAAAATAAACTAGACAAAGAAAAGAACTACTCAGCTTTTATCCACTTACCCTTATTTTTTGTATGTGATTTGATCATTTGTTTACAGTCATAATTATTTAATATTCTATTTTAAGATCACAGTTTATGTATTAATTCTTTATGCTGTAATCTTGGTCTGCTTTTCTGCCAGGGGAAGAAAGCAAGGCAAAATTATTCATTCTTGTGAATTTCAGTCTCAGATCTAGAAATGGTTTGCCATTTTTTAGTTTCAACAAGATGTTGCTAAATGGATCTGGAAAGGCATTACTTCATTTTGCATATGAGAAGATTGCAATTGCAAATATGCAATTGCATATTGCAATCTCATATTCTATGAGAACCACGTCTTTGGGGGTTTGACGGAAGGAAGAGATTCAATAACTTGTCAGTATTTTCTATACCCAGGTAGCCACAGGCTCTTTCTGTCACTTGGTTACTATTTTAGGCTCTAGATGAAATTCTTGTGGAATATTTTTAAAAATGCTGTTTCCCAACCCTCTGACCTTCCCGTGTGTCCTGCTCCTGCCAAAAGAGAGAGGTCTTCATCCTTTGTCCTTGATTAGAAGGACGTACCGAAAAAACAGTTTTGGCGATCCCAAGACTCTTAATGATTGAGTTCATCTCAATGACCCAACAGGAAACTCTGCATTTTGTTTTTGCTGGGATTATTTTGTGCCGTTAGAGTCAGTTCCTGGATGCAGAAGTAGCCAGAGGTAAAGGATGTGTAAGTCCTATTGCAAATGGGGGAAGGGAACAAACCCTTCTGGGGGACTCCTTAATCAGCTTATCCCACTTTGTAGAAACACAGACTGAGGATGTTATTTCATTATCAGCCTTAGTCAATGTAAGACTTCTGCCACCAAAACACGGTGAGCTTGCTGTGCCTCCACATGATGTGTGCATTTGTATCCTCTGTGCTGGTGTTTATGGGGCTATGCAATCAGCCACATTGATGGGACTGAAAACTAATCCTGCCAGGAGACAGAAAAGGGGTGGTGGTGGGGAAGACAACTTACGGGACCAGCTGAATGTGCAGCTGCATAGAGGTGGGGAGAGCTGGCACAAGGGAAGAGTGGGCCATGCAGTGGATGAGGTGCCTTCCCCCTTTCGACATCAGTGCAGTCTGTGAGAATACACCATAAAGACAGCATTTTTGAAGAATTGTGTACTCTCACCAATGTCATCAGTTAAAGCTTCCTTGAGAACAGAATTATGACAGTTTAATAATTTCTGTGAATCATACTTTTAAGGACTATCTGCCTTAATTCCCATACTTGCAAATGAGATTATCATTGCAGGTGGAACCAAACCACAGTTCACATTTTTAGCCTACACACAGAGTCCATAAGAAAGAACGCTGCATAAAAACACCATATTGAGAGGCTGAAATGAGTGGAATTTTTTTTTTTTTCACCTGAAAAGCAGGGATGGAGGAAGGGGAACAACTTGGAGTGTTAATTTATTCAGGTGAAATCCTGATGGGATTGGCAGAATGAAATTTCTTTTGGAGCCTTCAGAAATTTTCTGTGATACGGAATTCATATTTTCCGGCTTGCTAAAGAAATGGCAATACTAACTCTTGAGGAGAGTATAGTTGCACACCTATTTAAGGAGGAAGGATTTACAATAAGGTCTTTACTCATTAAAACCTGAGGTACAGAAAACCTCTCCATAAGTGGTCAGCAATTTAGGTATTAAAAGAAGGAGGAACTTATTTCTGAACCTTTATTTTTAATGGTGTCTGTCTGGATGAGGACACTTGTGTTCTTTAGTATTGGATTTGTGGATCTCAGAACAGAAAGAAATTTTTGTTGTTCATCCATTTTCCCAAGGTTATGAAAATTTGTAAATATTTCTCCACCCTCCCACTCTGCTTCAGTGTTTTTCATCTTGCTTGGCAGTTGTTGCACAGTTCATTTATTCCATGTTACTTACTGTTCCACTTCTACTTTTGGCAGACACACTGGGGGCAACAGTGACTTCTAATAGTAGTTAACTTTCAAAGTGGCATTTGCCAGAACATAAAACACCTTTTACAGTTACGTAAATTAAATGAAGCAAATCTTTGGTGAGGAGAAATAGGTAGCATGGAACTATTCATGAAGTATGAATATATACAATGGTTTGGACTGATGTTTGATTCTCAAAGTTTAAAAAAGAACAAAAGATTAAATGGGTTTGTATAACTATTATAAATATTTGTCTAATATACCAGTGCGTTTACTGTGTGTGAAGTGTTTAGTGATGATGATGCCAAGTCTTTCACTTTAATTTTACAGGCTTGCAGGCATTTAGCCAAATTTTCTTTCTTAGACTGAATTTTTCTAGGGCACCTGGTCAAAACCATTCAACACATTCAGAAAACATTGCTTGTGTAAATTGACAATATTAGAAAAGAAAACTGACCCCTTTCAAATAGGCCAACTGAACGTTTGAATGTTGTTAAGAAGTTTAAATGTACAGTAAAAATGGAGTTGCAAGATGTTCCAGAGAGAAAGAAAACACATACAAAAAATGCATGGGTATGGAGGAGATGGTGTACATGAGTCTCTGAACAGATTCACAGAAGTTGGAAGAGCCTTAAGACAAATTTATGTCCCTCTTATAGGAACAGGTACTGCAGTGGAGCAAATTTCTGGGATACTGAGAGCTTAAAATTTCTTTCCAGACCGTTGCACAGCTCTGTCCAGGAATCTTAACTAGGAATTGAAATCTGGATTTCCAGATGATGGAGGCACAATCAGCTGTGTTCCTACACAGGAAACATTATTGGCAGTTTTTCTCCTGGAGGGAGGCCTTTTAAAAGGGTTCTTCATACCAGTTTTAGCAAAGACAGGGATTCAATGCTGGTGTGGATTCCCCTGACAATGCCTGGCATCATTACTGTGCAATTCTGTTCCAGGAATGAACACTGGTAGCATGAGTTAGTCAGTGCTTTAATTCTGAGTGAAAAGGTTATAAAGGCAATAAAGACCGTGGGGAAAAAGCGCTGAATTTTCACACCTGAATGAGCACCAATATGAAGGGTTGTGATTTTGCTTGCATTTATAAGCCTGTTTTCATTTCAAAGGGGTTTGATACATGTAATGGGGAGTGGAGTTTGACTCCAAATATAATTTTAAGAATTATGCTGCGTCAGTGATCTGACAATCCACTGGAAAGGTTAAATTGAGTGTAGACCGTTTAGCTTTGGTATGATGATTAATTTCAAGTGGTATAAGTTATGAACACTAGTTTCAATTATTTATTGAAAAAGCCAACAAATCTCATGGGAACTATACAAAGTAAAATAAAACCAGTTGACTGTGATTTTGCTCCCAAATGAACTAATCAGGTGATTGCGACCTTGAGACGGGGTCTCTCCTTCACCTCTCCCCTCCCCTCTCCTATGTACAGAACTGACAGGCTCATCTGTCTGCTTGAGAAGTCCTTGATACTGTTCATATTTAACATCATTATCAAAGGTCCTTTGCTTCCAGGCTTAGCCATTGAAATAGATGAGATGAGAAATGCTGACATGATAGTTTTGCAAACGTTATCTGAGAGGTTTGCATATATTATTAAATCTCTTAATGAAGATGATGAAGAATCAGCCTATTAACAGCTCAGAATTAGGTATATTGCTGCATTAATTCCTGTTCCTCTCTTTGATATTTCAGTGCTACGGCTATTGAAGGATGGTGCCGACCCTCATATGCTTGTTTCCTCAGGAGGCTCCTTGCTCCATCTGGTAAGAGTGATTGAAGATTAGTCTTAGTGAATGTGGATAAATATGGTAAGATACTGAGTAGCAGATTGGGCATATTAACAAAAAGAAAGGTTTAGCAATAATTTTTTGTCTACACTGCCCTCCACTGTGGTTATGATTGCATCCAGCTATGCATGTGGAAGAAATGGTCATTTTCAAATTGCTTATGAAAGGGTGGATCATGTCATAGGAATGGTAACAGTGCAGTAAGAAAGAACAAAGGAAATATTGCTTGATTCTGAAGATAGAAATATATGGTTCAGAGATTCATAGGTCCTATATGAAAAACATCATGATGTAACATTTTTCCTTTTGCTTTTGTGTGTATTTTCTTGTACCAATTTTCTATATCTGTATAATCAACACACTATCTGTGTTTAGGTTATCATTATTTGCATAGCAATTTAGATTAAGTAACTGGAAGATAAAACAGTTTGTATACAATGACCAAAAGAGAAGCAAGATGTAAGGGCATGTGGAGGAGGACTGACAGGCAGACAGAAAGAAAATACTGCAGAGGTAAAATTTTGTCTTTGCTGAAGCCAATGGCAAACTCATAATAAATTCCTAAGTCTTATGATCCTTCACTTTGGTTTGTGATGCTTCAATTGCAGACATGCTTTCTATTCAATGTGAAACTATGTTAAGATATTTACATCCAACTTTGTTGCACAATGCTGATAAAATAAATGTGACTTCACCACCACAAAGACATAACATCTAGTGGAAACTCTGCTGGCAGACTGTTTCATTTTAGGACAGTCACATTAAGATTCTCATAGTTTGTACACAAAATAGAGAGATTTCTTGACCAAAAAAAAAAGGATCCTGCAATATTACTGAATTCCAGCACACCTGCCACCATGCTCTTGCAAGTTGTAGTGTTTCCCTCGTGTAATTAATCTGTTTTTCATCTTCCATGGCCACACCACTTACCAAGGACTTTGGGAAATAGAAGTGTAGGTAAGGGTGCAATAATGAGTTGGAACAGAGAAAATGCAAATCCTCTTTTCTCTCCTCCAACTATTTCCCTGCTGCAAATGTGCTCAACCACCCTTTAAAAATGCAGCCCATAAAAGATATCTTTGGGACTCCCAAAACTGAGGCATCCCAAACCTTACCCTGTGCTGAAAGCCCTAGGAGACAATCTATATCTTCAGTGTGCCTGATGTGACATCTCTCTCACTGGCATTTTAGAATAAAAGAAAGAAAGATCCATCTTTAAGGATTTTATGTTGCTTTGTCTAGTTCAGCTGATGCACACTTTTTAACTGCAGATAAAATCTGGAGTTGAACTGTGTCATTTTTATGTTTCTTGATCTTCTGCATTACGTCCCCATTCACTGTCACATTCATTGTCTCTCCACTGGTGCCCGCTACTTCACAGGCACAGATACGCTTCAAAAGGAGGGAAAGCTTCCTGCAGTAAGAAATTTGAAGTAGAGAACTGTGTGTAACCTACTGCCTCAGTTTAGTTAGTTACTTATAAGTACTCATAATTAATTTACAGGAAAATGCTGATACTATTGGAGATAGAGAAAAACGTGATTTCAGAGGATTTGACCCTGATTTGGGAGCAGTACAGATAGGAGAGGAAAGTCATGATACAGGGAAATAGATAAGCCAAGTTTATTTCCTGCAAGAGCTCAAAATAGCAATTTAGCATGCATCTTTATTGTATTTTGAAAACCACTCAAATCCATTCTAAGTACTAGTTTTACCACTATAATTCTATGTAATCTGCTTTCTCCAAAGGTGAGCCTGATCGGTGTTTATTCTTTCCAGTTGTAGGGTAAATGTTTTTATTTCAGGATGAATGGAAGATATATTTATCTTCACATTTTACTTAAAATCTGATTCATGATATAATTCCTTTTCCTTTTTCCATTTCTGTTAACTTCCAAAATGTGATATATTTCTAAAAAATCAAATGTGACACTTCATACAGATTCTGTTGCTACCTCTGTAGACATATCCCAATACGGTTGAATCTCAGGGAATCCATGGAGCTTCAGGGAGCTTCAAAGATATTCACTGAACTCTTATTAGACTCCATGAGAGCAGAAGTACCAAAAAAGAGAGTCCTTGCCTGAGTCACCCAGTCAGTGGGAAGGACATAGTGTCCTGTCAATTCATGCACACAATCACCAAAACAACCCTAGTAATAAAGTATATGAGTGCCAATATTCTCCCGGAACTTTGACTGAGATTGCCCAATTGCTTCACAAAATCCATTAAACAAGAATCCAGGAGCAGTGGCAATTAAATTCCTACTACAAATCCAGTCTGTTTTCAAACTGGTAACTAATGACAAAAGGCTCTATATCTATTATTAATACACAAAATGGCTCAGTGACATCTGTCACTTTTGTTTTGTATGGAAGGCCTCTAGAAAATTTTTTGCTTAACAATGCCTTGAAAATATGATTGGTATGAGATTATGTTGATCTGTATTATAAAATGTTTTATCTCTGATTTGTTAAAATCTGAGCATTGAACAGCTCAATGTAAGTTATACTATTGATATAATGAATGATACTGATGCAACAAAAAACTTCTGTCTGTTTCTAGAGCCATCAGATAAGTTACAAGCTAAAGAAAATACATCAGAACTTAATTTCTGTTCTATAATTTAATGCTCAGTATGTTTGGAAATCATTTAAAACAGTACTGCTTTTTTTAGTTTAATTTTCATCTTCTGAGTTATCTGTATTTATGATCGCTGTAATATATGCAGCTCCTACATTCAGTTGAATATCTCAGCTATGTCTTGGCTTCACAGTGAAATCCAGTTAGGCACTTTTCCTTCTTCCCTTTTTCCTCCAGTGTCCTGGCTTCCATCCAAATTAATGCAGATCAGCAAACCGGATGCCATGGTGTTGTTTCACATGCAATATAGACATAACAACATAATTATGTAACCCTCACTCGCAATTTATCTGCAGATTTCACTGTATTTGTACTCTCTGTGTACATGTGTGCTTTTTAGGACAGGGAAATGTTACACAGCTTTAACTATTGGAAGAGGCATAGATATTAAGGATTGTATTCAAAGCATCTAAGCATCTAATACAGAAAATTAGTCTCCAGTGGGGAAGGAGAGAGGATCCTTCTCTAAAGAGTTACTGAAATTGTGTGTTAGGCCAGAGTTAGGATCTTAACCTAGGTGCCCAGATTATCTTTTAAAGTATTATCCATAAGCACATCCATAAAAAGCCACAGATGTGACAGAATAGTAAGCTCTAAACAATGGCTAAGCCAGTTTCTTCTTCGCTGCCAAAATTAGCGACCTCCATCATCAAACAAAACAAAGCATATGAACACACACATGTGTGCAACCTCTTCCGCCCCTTGCCCTCAACATACCCTTAGTGTGCAGAGTATTTATCTGTCAGAGACACTTGAATACGAATCAGTATAGCTAGTGGATTGGAAATAGGAGGGGGTATGGAGAGGCATCTATTATTGCTATGAACTGCGTAAAAGGCAAAAGTTCATGTACATGTGGACATATGTATGTGTGGGTGTACATACACTTAGATGCCACTACTTGTGATGTGATCATCATGCACTGATGCCTGGGCACTGATTTGGAATGACAGTATTGAACAGAAAGAAAACCTCATCTTTAATGTAGATTTCAGCAGATTTCATGTAGTGCTTTTTTACAAGGAATAAGGGATTCCGTGAATCATGCACATGGATCTTGTAGTCTCCACAAAACTATTGTATAAGTTCATCAGCTGTTGTCCCCTACAAACACAGCATTTTAACTACAGTGCATCATCTGCTCAATTTAACTGTTAAATGGAGCAAAAATTGTATGTAATAAATTCAATTGTATACTGAGTAAAACACCATCCCTAATCTGCTCTTCTTTCTTCTAGTGTGCTCGCTATGATAATGCATTTGCTGCAGAAATTCTAATTGACAGAGGAGTGAATGTAAATCATCAAGATGAGGATTTTTGGACATCAATGCATGTAGCCTGTGCATGTGATAATCCTGATATTGTCCTGCTACTGTTACTAGTAAGTAAAGCAATCCAATGCATTGTGTGCTTGAAAAGGAAACAGAATGTAATACCATAAGATCTGAAACTGCTGTATGAATGCAATGTATTGCTACAAATCATATAAATGAAAGCATATATTATGTGTGTTTGTTTCTTGATGTTGTTTTGTGCTCGGGATTTTTAGAAGGCATATAGCGAAGCATTTTTAGGTCTTTAATGAGAATACAGTATAAACGTCAATGTCAAGTCTCTCCTATCTCTTCTCTGTGGTCAGGAGCTTATATCTCTGATAAGCACTCAGTCCCAAATGGGATATTCGGGTAATTTCTTTTCTCCTTGTCACTTTCTGTTAAGGATTGAGTTTGCAGGAAATCTTATCAAAAACTCCTTCTTAAAAGCAAGTATTCACTCAATTACACTCAGTATTCATAAATAAATGTTTGCATACGTGATCAAAATGGGGCCAATTTAATATTTATCTAAACAACTTTGACTTTTTGAAGCAGAGTTTACCCAATATAGTAATAGATATGGCATTCAGCCTTTGTAGAGAACAGCTTTGTTCATGTTGTGCTTCCATTCCTAGGATCGCAGCCTCTAGTTTTACACCAGGCTATTAATGCTGTTCTTTCTCCCAGTTGCTCTTTAAATACTGCTTTTTAAAACAGTACTGCAAAAACAGTTCACAGCCTGACTTACAGTTTTCTAATCCATTTGTATAATTTTAAAATGCTTATGTTTTTAATAGGTCATTGCAAGTAGATCAGCATTTTTTAGCATACTTGTAATGGTATTTCAATTTTACAGGTAAAATGATGGGAAAAATATTTTTAAAGACTTGATAATAGCTTTCATGAAATCATGTTGAGAGACTGTCTAGTCCAGTCCCCCTGCTCAGAGCAGAGCCAGCTATAGGAGCTTGCCCAGGACCATATGTCCAAGGATGGAAGGTCCACAAACTCGTTGGGCAGCCTGCACAGAAAAAGAAAAAATTCATTAGGTTTAAACAGAATTTCCTGTGTTTCAGTTTGTGCCTATTGTCTTTTGTCCTTTCACTGAGCACCACTGAGAAGAGTCTGTCTCCATCTTCTCTACTCCCCTCATCAGGTGTTTACACACATTGGTAAAACCTGCCTCAGCCTTATCTTCTCAAGGCTGAAGAGTCCCAACTCCCTCAACTTCTCCTTGTTATAACAGATGTTCCAGTCCATTCATTGTCTTCGTAGCCCCTTTACAGGACTCACTCCAGTATGTCCATGTCTCTTTTACTGGTGAGCCTGCAACTGGTGGGCATGGTGGTGTTGGGTTGATGGTTGGACTTGATCTTAAAGGTCTTTTCCAACCTTAATTATTCTGTGATTCTGTGTTACCTCACCAGTGGTGGGCTCTCCCCAGTGCCTAGGTCTGTTGGTAATGCACTCCAAGAAGTCTATGGCCCTCTTTGCTGCAAGGGCACATTATTATCTCGTGCTCAACTTGTCCTCTAGGTCCTAGTCCCAGAAGTATTTTGTGTGGAAAGCTGTGTAGCTAGGCAATAGGAAATATTAAAGGAAAGAGCATAGCCTAAATTTTGTCATTCAAAATAGTTAGCTAAGATCTTTTGGAAATATCTGTCTCTGCTTGAAGGTAATAGCTGGGAACACTGTTCTGGATCTGTATACCTACACTGGGTCAGGGACAAGAAGCAGGGCTTTTAGCCAGTGCGATACTGATTAGAGCCCTCTTGGGCTTTTGAGGACTTGCGTCCAGATGTCTCCTCTTCTAGAAAAAAGTCAGATCAATGCCTTTTTTCTCTCAGAGGAGTATTTCACTAGACTGTTAGATAGATTTCATAATGTAATCATTAGTTATTATAGTTAGGAATGCTTTAGTGCTTAATTGTTTATGCTAAAGCATAATCAGCAAGTTAAGTAGCATCCACAAAGGCTAATGTGATAGTTTACACCTTAGAGCTATTTTTTCAGTCTTGCGTGATTACATATGATCTCTTTCTGAAATATACAGATATTATCCCATCTAGCACAGATGCCTCATTTTATAAAAAATAGGGTAAATAATATCCTATGCTAAATTAGAAAATAAATGGAAAATGATTTTTTTTGTTCAATTCAGAATTAGTGATACCTTCCTTCCCTTCATCTCATTTCTTAATTCCTAAGTTTCAACCTTTATTTGAAATCAGAACAGGTGACTCTTGAAGGTTTTCCTGTATAGACTCTAGTTGCATCGCACCAAATTGGAAAGAATTTCTAGAGAGATTCTTTCCCAAAAATGTTCGGTCCCTCATAAACGTGTGTTGTGCTTTTGAATTGCTACAACAACTTTAATGAAACAAAGGGGGGTTTGGGATATTGCTTTTGTGTTTTTTTTAATAACCTAAGACTCATTGCATTTAGAATCTCATAAGTCAAAGCCATCATGATGAATTATATTTTGTGGAATATACGAGTGTGCCATATTAAATTAGAGTGGCACCACAAGCAAAGAGTCTTCAGTAGCAGAGGGGATAATCTTCTAATTATCTTCAGCACAGTGAGTTACAGTAGTATGATTTTAAGTTAGTGGCTATGCTAACTATGATGTAATGCCATGTATCTGAATGTAGTACTGTGGATACTATCTGACCTTCTGTAAATGGCATGGGATTCACCAAAACCTTTGTCTGGAACCTGGAATTATTTTTACTTTGTCCTGTGGTTGCTTCTTCCAATCTGTAACTTTAGTTTTAACATTGATCTGTACCAGGTCTTGTCTGGTAATGTCTTAGGATTCTGATGGCCTCTGAAGCTACACCTGCTTAAAAAAAACCAGAAAGAGATGTCCAGGAGTCTTCCTGGGTGCTGGACCACAATCATCTGTGCTAGCAAACTGTTAGAATGTCCTCTGGTATGACTTTGGCATGTGCCATCTAGATTCCTTCTAGACAATTTCCCAGCATGGTTTTGAAGCTGGAAAGTCCCAGGGACCAGTTTGTATCCAGCTCTCACACTGTAGAGGTTAAAAGTATTTACTAGATTAAACAAGGTCTCTTCCATACCAGCTGTGTTCAATGCCTAGAGCTTTCCCAGGTCCATTTGATATAATAGTAGAGATACAGCCTTTGTCATGCTTGGAATGTCCATTTTCTCAGCTTTTCTATTCCAAGTGCAGTTAGGTCCAGTAAATGTAATGTGTAAATCTGATTTTCTGTTCTTAGTGCTTAAAAGAGTATTTCTTACCTAACCACAGTCATCAGATATGTTTGGTAGGAGTATCCCATTCTAAACATTGTCACTATACTTGGCAAAATAAAGGACAAAATTTCCAGAAGCTGATATTTTATCTCTTGTATCACCTTGATCTGTTCAATGTATATACTTTTGAAGTCTGTGTATCCTTTGGATTCTGTGTGTACACACAGAATCATTAAAGTTGGAAAGGACCTTCATCATCATCAACTCCAACCATTAATGCAGCACCACCGTGTCCTCTAAACCATGTCCTGAAGCGCCACATCCACAAGTTTTTGAACACTTCCAGAGATGGTGACTCCACCACCTCCCTGGGAAACCTATTCCAATGCTTGACCACCCTCTTGGTGAAGAAATTTTTCCTGATATCCAATCTAAACCTCCCCTGGTGCAACTTGAGGCCATTTCCTCTCGTCCTATCATCAGTTGCTGGGAGAAGAGACCAACCCCCACCTCACC